CAGATACACAAACCTAGCTATTCAACAGCAGCAATAGCACTGACAGTAGTAGGGTGGAACAAACGAGGCCAAACTCATTGCAACCTGCTTGTAACTGGACACAAGGAAAGGACCCCAAATTCCTTGGCAGGGGAAGAAACCTAAACCAAAACCAAATGCATGTTTTTGTATTGTCAAACTTCATTTGGAGATCTCAGACACTGTAATTCACATCAGACCTGAAAAGGCAGTTCTGGCCTTTGGACTAGTTGCAGCCTGGCTGGTGTTTGGTTTTTTTTTTTTTTAAGATAATGATGCAGATGATGTGTCAGATTCTTCTTACTGCTTAGCCATGAGTAAGAGGTGTCACCAAGATATTGGAAAAACAATTCCTCCTCAATTGAATAAAGGTAGGAGTGCATACATCCAAGCTATTGGGAAACACCATTAGCATTTTATTTATAACACTAGGGAGAAGAATTTGGGGACCAGCATTTCCTTCCTGCAAAGAGTCTGGAGGCCCAAGGTTGAGGACCACTGCACTAGGGAGAAGAATTTGGGGACCAGCATTTCCTTCCTGCAAAGAGAGTGTTAGCTGCTGTAGATAACATACATGGGCCATGGCCAGGAAGTATTTAATCTACAGTACATGGTGAAGAGAGAAGAGGTGGTGGAAGAGAAAATTTGAGTTTCTAACACCGCCATCCCTGGGAAGGTTTGTAGCATCCCAATCTAGGAAAGTTGCTTTGGCAGAAAACTCCACAAGCAACTCTCCCTTGGGCTTAAAAATTAAGTAATGACAAAATGAGCCTCGTGGCGCAGTGGTTATAAATCTAGGAAAGTTGCTTTGGCAGAAAACACCACAAGCAAGTTTCCCTTGGGATTAAAAATGAAGTAATAACAAAATAAAGAAATAACTACTTGCCTTTTCATTACACATAGACTTGACTGCTGTTGCAGCTACTTCAAATGCCATGAAGGAATATGAGAGAGGTAGAAGAGGTCTAATCAATATCTTCCTCCTTCTCAATAAATAAATAAATAAATTTTTGAAAAGGTGGTGGATGGATGCACCAAGAGTATGTTAGGGAAGATTTTGCTTAGAAAGTTGGCTGCATCCAGGAAAGAAAAGAAAAGAAAGACACGGTCAAGTTGATTAATAAAATTGGGGAAAGTTTCTTACAGAGGATTAAGAATGGGAACGGCATGCCAGAAGACAGATAGGGATGGTAGAACTTGGGGGGGGGGAACACTCCAGAAGGGTGTGGACAGTTTGGGAAGCAATGGCATTTATGAGCGATGGGGGAGATGGATTTTTATACATTGCTTACAAAGGCACTTAGCTTTTATACCTCCCCACACTATTAATTGTACAAGTGTAACTATGCACAGAATGTCTTCCAATAAATAACAGTTAATACTGCAGTTTGTTTGCCACAAAGATCCTTTCAGCGGAGTGCCATCCCTTCCACAGACAATAGAAAGAGAGATTCAGACTTTTCCCATCCCTGCTCCTTGGAAAAGAGAATAATGGGGCACTCCCCATTCCACCTCTCATATTCAGACTTTTCCCATCCCCGCTCCTTGGAAAAGAGAACAATGGGGCACTCCCCATTCCACCTCTCATAAAGCTGATTTTATCTTTAATTGTATGTTGTGTGTTATGGCATCTGCCATTCAGTGTTACGTTGCATTTTTATGTTCCATGGCCCCCCCCCTTGAAGCCTCTGTGCACAAGATGGGGTGTGTGGATGATAAATGAAATATATTCCCATCCCCGCTCCTTGGAAAAGAGAACAATGGGGCACTCCCCATTCCACCTCTCATAAAGCTGATTTTATCTTTAATTGTATGTTGTGTGTTATGGCATCTGCCATTCAGTGTTACGTTGCATTTTTATGTTCCATGGCCCCCCCCCTTGAAGCCTCTGTGCACAAGATGGGGTGTGTGGATGATAAATGAAATATAATTGGTAAACTGGATTAATTTTACATGAGTCAGTAGGGTGGTGCTCATGCCAGATTATAAGTGCTCTGGTTTAAGGATTCAGATGATAATAATCTATAGTGTGGCCTTTCCGTATTAGGTGCACAGACAAAATCATTTTGCTGCAAGAGGTGACTGGTATAACCTCATGTCTTGTGGTGAAATCAAATGTTGTGTAAACGACTTTGATAGTGGGATATTTCCCTCCCTTTCCCCCCCCCATCTTCTGTAGAAGATCACTCAGACTACAGGGAAGGGAGGGAAAAAGGTAATCACCCCTCCCCATTCCACTAATATAGGTTATTCCATTAACAGGAGATGCTGATTGGATAATAAAGGTAATACCTTACTATCTGTGTTTTCCTGCCAGGTTATTCTTTGTCTGTCACAATTAATTATCTAATTATCTCTGTAAAAGAACTAGGTAAGTATAAACTGCAGATGAGATTCAGTTGAGAGATACAGTATTTATTACACAAGCTGTTGTGCTGCTACACAAATGTGAGAGTGAGCAGAGAGTAGAGATCCCCTCGGTGGAGTGCCGTCCCTTCCACAGACAATAGAAAGAGAGTTTCAGACTACTCCCATCCCCACTCCTTGGAAAAGAGAACAACTGGGCACCGATATCTGGGAATTGTAGCAAGAGTTATATGGGTTAGAGATAGGGTGACGCATCCTGACAGAATTGGCGGGAAGAGACAGACGTCAGAGGGCAGAGATAGAGGCGGGAACGGTGGAGATAAAAGGGGGAAAGAGTCAATTACTGCCAGGTTGGGAGTGGGTCTGGCTACAAGACCCTCGGACAGGGGTCTGGGAATGTCTAAAAGTACCCAAGGAAGAAGCCGATTACTGCCGCAGGAGAGAAATCCCCCCCCCCAAGACCATCTTATTGGGGAGAGGCAGAGGCTCAAGAGTGGCGGCAGAGGTTGAGAGAGGAGAAGGAAAAGGTGGAAAGGGAAAAGAGATAGGTTGGCATGGAGGGTAGAAGAGTTGAGGAGGAGAAACTACCCAGAGGACCCTGGGTGACCCTTTCTCCCACCAGAGATGATGGATGGGTAGACTTCGCAGGGGAGGAGACCGTTCCTTTATTGGAAGGACAGACCAGAGAGGTTCTAAGGGAAGAAGCAGTGATGGACTGGACTGGCCCATGGAAAACATCCTGTACCAACCCTTACCTTGGAGAAGCTTGGAAGCCCCTGTCTGACCCATTGGCGGCAGGTGAAATGTTATGGGACCCACTTTTTGATACTGGACTGGACTTGAATAATCCAATAAACCTTTATCCTGTTTCAAAATCAGAAAGACCTCCTGATTCCTTTAAAGAAATGTCGGATCCCAAAGACGACCCGTCACAACAAACTGGATAAAGTTGGGAAGTTAATTGTCTCAAATTAAGAAATCTCCATATACATTATTTGTTGTATGCTAAGTCACATGATTCAGTGGCCAAAATCCTTTTGCTCAGCATAGTGAATTACACTACAGTAGAGTCACATGATTCAGTGGCCAAAATCCTGTTGCTCAGCATAGTGAATTACACTACAGTAGGCTCATTAAATCAGTGATTTGCTATTACTTTAGATTAGTAAGTCACAGTTAGAGTAGGCCCATTTGAATCAATGGAACTTATGGAGGAGCAGACTCATTAAATTTGTGTTGATTTACCGCACTAAACAACAGGGTTTGGTCTGATATGTAACAGATGTCTGTGGAGACTTCTTAACTTGTGGCACTTCACCTCATAAGTAACACTTTTTGTGTAGCAGTACAACAGGATTTCATCTATTTTCTTATCTTTATTCCAGCTCCATGCTGCACTGTGATAGAAGTGAATACTGTATTTTGTCAGACATATCATAAATATAATCAGAAATACCATAAATCTACATTTATGCTTGTATTTTAGCCATAAATCATTCTTAACTTGTGGCACTTCACCTCATAAGTAACACTTTTTGTGTAGCAGTACAACAGGATTTCATCTATTTTCTTATCTTTATTCCAGCTCCATGCTGCACTGTGATAGAAGTGAATACTGTATTTTGTCAGACATATCATAAATATAATCAGAAATACCATAAATCTACATTTATGCTTGTATTTTAGCCATAAATCATGTCATGTGACATAATCAGAAATACTGTACCATAAATCTAAGTTTATGCTTGTATTTTAGCCATAAATCATGTGGGAGTCAAATATTTTCAATCCCTCTTTCTATATCAGCTTTGCATCAGTTGAGGCCCATTTTCAGTAGCAATTAAGAGTTTTAGGTAGCAATTAGTCTACTTCCATGGGGGGGGGCTACATTTGGTTATGGGGATTGTTATGCCCACAGTACTGCCCCCAAGGAGTTTTAGGTAGGAATTTGTCTACTTCCATGGGGGGCTACATTTGGTTAGGAGGATTGTTATGCCCACAGTACTGCCCCCAAACCTTGCCACACTCAAACAAAAATCATACTAGGAAGAACCATGCACATCACAGCAATTACAGAATAATTTTTCTATCTTTGCTCACCATCTGTTGTGTTACTGTATCTCCTTACCCAAGGAAACTGCTGAACATAGTGGGTGGGTGGCAGTGCAGGTAGATTTGCTTACACAATAGGCTGTTTACTCAAAACTGCTGAGTAGATTAATGGTTTAGGTGCTTGACTTCAGAGCCACTGGTTGGGAGTTCAGTTCCCCACAGTGCCTCCTTGACAAGGGGTGGGCTTAATGATCCATAGGGTCCCTTCCAGCTCTGCTGGATGTATTCTAAATGTATTATTCTAAGGTTCTAAAATCAGTTTGGCTGAAGAAGCATGCTACACTCAATGCACAAAGGTCAAATATACTTTGTACAAGGTTCATGTTCCATCCTCAGTTTTATCTCTGTGCACAAGAGCAGTATAAAATGTGTATTTCTGTAGCATCTGGTTCTGCTCAGATTTTGCCAATAAGAATGGAAAAGTTTTTTTAAAAAAGCAGTGTTACACTCTGATGCTTTTCGTTTAAGAAGGGAATGCAGTTAGTGTAATTTTATTTTTCAAGATACTTTCAGACTGAAAATCATGACTTGACACGTCTTGAAACCTCCTCTGCTAAAACCTTAATGGACATCGGGACACGGAGAATCTTCTCATCAGATCATGACATCTTTCGGCAAAGTGTGAGAAAATTCTTCCAGGAGGCTGTAGTTCCACATCATGCAGAGTAAGTTAAAATCTTCTCTGTTGAAAGGGATATTAAGACTCACGTAGCTTTGAAAATCTTCTCATCTGTTGAAAGGGATATTAAGACTCACGTACAGTACAAGGACAGGACATTTTTGTACCCCCAGTCACATTTTGTTGCACAACCCACCCCAGACTAGACCTGTTATTTGTTTGTTTTAGTTAGTTAGTTATTTCATTTTTATACCACCCCAACCCACCCCAGACTAGACCTGGTATTTGTTTGTTTTAGTTAGTTATTTCATTTTTATACCACCCATCTGGTTATTTATTTAGTTGTTTTTGTTTGTTTGTTTGTTTCATTTTTATACCACCCATCTGGCCAAAGGCCACTCTGGGTGGTTTACAACATGTGTAACCAACAGACTTAAAATACAATTTAAGAGATGGTTCAATTTGCCACCTAGAGAGTTGTTGTTTTGCAGTATTGTCAGCTGTAGAGTTGGAAACAATGTCCCCACGTTTCAGCAATTTACCATGGGGGAGAATTGTTTATTGTTATTCCAACCAAAAGCCAGCTGAAACAACAACAAAGTCTCTATAAATCTATTGATTTTTGCTAGGGAGGCACATTTTGTACTAGCATTGTGACAAAAAAAAATGCCCCATGCTATATTTTGATTAACCATACAAGTTGGTCCCATTTGAGGAGCATGGAAACAGTGGGATTTTTGTAGAGGTCTGAAAAGACACAGTGTATATGGAACCTTTCTCTTAACATTGCTGCTAAAGCTCAATGCACTACAATTTTCATGGGGGTTAGAAAATAACCCCCAACCCATTCAATACTTCTTTTTGTTTTTAAAAATCCTGATGCATGCAAGTTATATTCTGTTTCTGTTGCCAGTGGCACCGGTGGAAGCTTCCTTGCAGGAGGTAGAGGGTGCACGGTTTACTGGAACTAGTATGGAGGGGAAAATACTATCTTTCCCACCATGCATGGTAGATTGTTTGCCCTGTCATTGAATGAGGTGATATCTTGTTTAATCCTCTGTTTGACCACACAATGCAAGTTAATTAAAGCTGAAACCCCATATTATGTGAGAATAAACCTCACTGAGTTCAGTGGGACTTAGAAGAGAAACATAGGATGGTGTTAATGTTTAAATGACCTTCCTTGGCTGAAATTCTGTCGAGCAGTCACACAAAAGGCGTAACTTTTAATGTCAGATTGCGGTATGTTTAGAAATCTACATAGGCATTATTTGTTGCACCCTGATTTGTACAATTCAGTATGAAATAGATACTGCCTGCAGAGATTTCGGAAATACAGTTTGCTACTAAAAGTTACATTGTTTGCGTAATTGCACAACAGGATTTCAGCCAGTGAAATTTCAGCCTTAGTGTATTTCTTCACAGTAATACAGGGTATTTAGTTTTCCTTTTTTTTCATTCTAGCAAAGTAGTGGGCAGTTTGCTGACTCTCCAGATATTATACATCTCCAATAAGCACCCCGCCACTGGGCATGCTGGCCAGTAATGATGGCAGCTGTAGACCAAAACCCTCAGGAGGCTCACAGGTCCTCACTTCTGCCTTAGTATCTCAAATTGGTAAATGTTTCTTCTGCCTATCCCTGCAATCTGTACTTTCTGCATTTGGGCATATTTACAAGAAAACTGTATAGGTCTTACAATAAGGTAGCTTAGGAAAGTACCATGTTTCCCCGAAAATAAGACAGGGTATTATATGCACAATGGTGGGGGGGCGGGATTTCACTTCACTTGGGGTTATTTTTGGGGTAGGGCTTATATTACGAGCATCCTGAAAAATCATACTAGGGCTTATTTTCAGCTTAGGTCTTATTTTCAGGGAAACAGGGTATGATCTGTGAAACTCTTTGGGCTAATAGTGAAAATAACATTTCAGAAGTACATTTAATATTCTAGGCAGAAAACGAACTTGGTATTGGGACTGAACATTTTATTTTAGTGTATTTTTATTTCTAAATTGCCTACCTGTAAGTCCAGTCCCAGTTCCTCCGTACCAGGCAGTTTCAGAGATTGCTCCTTTTGTATTACCCACTGCTTAAAGTCCGTGTCATGACCCTAAAATTCATTTTGCTTGAAATCTGTAGATGGTTATTTTTCAGCAGCCGTAGGTGTTCTTACAAATACGTACACGCAAAGACAGGGATGCTCCAATGTGTATCACAAACAAAATCCTTGTGCCCCAGGGCAGAGTGCTGCTTCCTTGCTAAGGGCCTTTGTAGGCACTTGGGAATGCATTGCTGCTCAGCAAGTTGTGTGCTCTGCCACCCCTGCAAATGCGCTCAAACAAATGCTGCTTGTCCGACTTTGTCTTGTTTTGTTTGCAGGTGGGAGAAAGCTGGACAGGTGAGCCGAGAACTCTGGGAAAAGGCTGGACAGCAGGGTTTGCTGGGGGTCAATATAGCAGAAGAACATGGGGGCATCGGAGGAGATCTTTTCTCAGCTGCAGTTGTTTGGGAAGAGCAGTAAGTGCCAGATCACTGGGAAGAACTGTCCTTGTTGTGTACTTTCTGTCCACGATTGCTAGTCCTTTGGAGATGTTGTTGGTTCCCTCCACCTCGTGATGTAATAATAAAGCATCGCCAAGTCAGTTCCAAATTATGGCAATCCTTCCACAGGTTTCTAGATATAAAAGACTCAGAGGTCCTTCCTATGCTGTCCCTCTGGTGGGGCTCTGAGATTATGCAGCTTGCCCAAAGCCACACAGTTGTAATAATAAAGCATCACCAAGTCAGTTCCAAATTATGGCAATCCTTCCACAGGTTTCTAGATATAAAAGACTCAGAGGTCCTTCCTATGCTGTCCGTCTGGTGGGGCTCTGAGATTGTGCAGCTTGCCCAAAGCCACACAGGGGACAGGGTGTGTAGCCCTATTAGCCACACTTGCTCCAGGTGATCTGGGGGGGCTCTCTTGGGGGGCCAATAGCTCCACAGCCGGGTGCTCCAACCCACTGCGACATGGTAGTCATACTCTGGATAATTGTTTTCGATTCTTGTTTTCTCTGTACAAGCATTTGTTGAGCCCAGTGGGCCTGAAGCATCATCTTTGTTGTGACATAATTGATTCACAAGAAATAACTGGAGTTGTTGTGAAGCTTGACTGGAGGAAAGTGTGTCCCACTGGCTACACTCTCTCAAACGCACACCTTGGACCTCCAGTGTGGCCTTCCAGCACCCCAACATCTCCGTTTTTAAAAACAAATTGTTTCCAGTACCACATTTGAAAAGGCCCTTCTGCCTTCAAGGCTTTTAGGTTTGGTGAGGAATTTTCTTTTCAAACCAAAAAGAGACTTGATGGCATTTTTTTAAAAAAAAATCTATTTCTTTATGGTTCCTGCCCTGATCGTCCTTTAGCTGCCTGTAGATGGAGCTATTGTGCGGTTTAACTCAGGGGTCCCCAACCTTTTCCCAACTGGGGACCATTTGGGGGGGGACGTGGCATGCTCGTGGGGTGTGGCATGCCCGCAGGGGAGTGGGGCCCTGCTCACACGTATGTTCATGGGGCGCTTGCAGGGGCGGAGCAAACTCATGCGCATGTGTGCGGCAGCTCTTGCAAGGGGGCGCTGGCTGGGGGCGACAGGAGATCAGTGTCCGTGGCCCGTTCCTGCCTAGACTGCGGACCGCTGCCGGGTCACAGGCCGGGGGCTGGGGATCCCTCGTTTAACTGAACCTTAAGCAGTTATGTCTGGACTAGCAGCTCTAGTCCCCAGGTTTCATTAAGTATCCCAGTCCCACTATCTAAAACATTAGGTGCCTCAAATTACGAAACTGTAAGAGTCATTTGGAGGTTTCGTTTTCTATTTGTGTTTCAAGAATATACGGTATGCAGAGTTCTGCCTCAAGTTATTGCAAAGCTGCTTTTTTTTAAAAAAATGTCTGTATCTGTTGTTTTTTCAGGATGTATGCGAACTGTTCAGGCCCAGGATTCAGCCTGCACTCAGATATTGTCATGCCCTATATAGTCAACTATGGTTCGAAAGAGCAGATTAAAAGATTCATTCCAGACATGGCAGCCGGGAAATGTATTGGTGCAATAGCTATGACAGAGCCTGGGGCTGGAAGGTAAGACAAAACAACTTTGGGTGCCCCCTTAGGCTTGCAATAGCATGGCAAGTTATATGGATTTAAACCCTATTAAAACAGGTGAAGGATGTAGCTCTCCAGATGTTTTGGGATGCACCTCTCACTGCGGCTATAGTTGCTCACGCTGATAGAGATTGCAGTTTAGCAGCTTCTAGAGAACCACACCCAACTCCTCTGGTAAATCACTACACATGAAGGCTTCTGAGGGTGATAAGTAGCCAGTAGGTGACCTATATGTGCAATGATAGCTGGACATTTATTACTTTTGCAAAAAAAAAAGTATAAGTGGTTTATTCCCCCGGCACATTAGGGAGAAGTAACAAACAAATGGGACAAGGAGCTATTGTCTTCTTCTTATTACATTATTACTTTCCTGCTGGAGATTGAACATAATCTTTTGGAGGCAGAACACATGAGGAAATTGAGTGTGATCTTAATTTAAAAATAGACTTTCTCAAATTATGCAGCAGATAAAATGATTCAGTCAGGAACTCACAGAGCATACAGTATGGAACTACAGGTCTCCCTTAGTAGACCACCCCTTAATTGTTTGTCGTTGTCGTTTAGTCATTAAGTTGTGTCTGACTCTTCGTGACCCCATGGACCAGAGCACTCCAGGCCCTCCTGTCTTCCGCTGCCTCCCGGAGTTGGGTCAAATTCATGTTGGTTGCTTCGATGACACTGTCCAACCATCTCACCCTCTGTCGTCCCCTTCTCCTCTTGCCTTCACACTTTCACAACATCAAGGTCTTTTCCAGGGAGTCTTCTCTTCTCAAGAGATGGCCAAAGTATTGGCACCTCAGCTTCAGGATCTGTCCTTCCAGTGAGCACTCAGGGTTGATTTCCTTCAAAATAGATAGGTTTGTTCTCTTTGCAGTCCAGGAGACTCTTAAGAGCCTTCTCCAGCACCTCAGGTTTACCTCAAATGCCACTTAAGTGTCTCAATTATTCACTCAGAGACTGTGGTAATGAGAGAGAATAAAATGTTTCTGTTTACTTAGTTTTTCATCAATTAAAAAACACACACCATCTTTTGTAAAATATTAACGTTATATCACTGTGCTTAACTGGTTAACTAGCATCACTACTAACTGGCTGGTTATGTAGCTGGCAGAACAGGGTTCTATCATGAGTTAGTTATGGACTCAGCCATGAAGTCTGTCTACTTGTGACAGACTTCATGGCTAACAGACTCTATAACTAACTCCTGATAGATTCCTGATTGGAAAAAAAGGCAAGAAAAAGAATTTGAGGTAGAGAGGAAAGAATTGGCTCTTACTGAGTTGATTGACATTCGCCCTAGTCCAGAAAAGTACCTCCCAGCGGAAAGCTCTTAAAAGGCGTCGTATGTACGTTGTAATATATCCAACTTATTCATAAGTATTTTAATCTTGAATGTAACAGTTCTAAACAATGTTATGTTGCATTCAAAGCAGTCTTTCATGTACTGTATTGCACTTCTTTATTTACTTTGAATGACTAACTGTAATAATCTGGACTTTTTGTTTCTTTTCATGTGTTCTCATTTCCTATATTGTGCTTTACGATTTCTTAATTGTGAAATACTTTTTCATTGGTCACCCTGTCAACCTAAGAAATTCATAGCATTCTACACTGAATGCACATTTCGTATATATTTTTTTAAAATAAGTTTTTGGTGTTTAAAGTTTATGCTTCCATGCCATACGACAGAATAAAGGACACACAACATATATTCCAAAAGCCCAATTAAAAGTTTTATAGTGTACTTCTTCTTTTTTATCTTATGGAAGCTGCTCTGGACCACCTGTACTTATATTTGTCACCATGCTCCACACTTCTGTTTTGAATCTGCATGTTTTGGAGCTGCTTGCTTTTTACTGATTACCATGAACTTGCTGTTCTTAACATTCACTATGATTATTATTTACTTCATTTACTTTATTGAGGAAGTGTTGCAGGCCATCTGAATTGCCTAGCTAGCACTATGATGTCATCTGCAGATTCGATATATCTGATAAATATCCATTGCCAATATAACTTGATTTAGCAAGTACTTGTTTAAATATGTTGTCAGGGTACAAACTGAAAAGCTATAGTGAGCATACACATCTTTGTTGTAGTCTTTGTATCTCTGTCTAGTTGCTGCATACTGTACTTGCTGCAGCATCTGTTTCATCTCCAAGGTCATCCCTACGTAGAGGGCATTGCAGTAGCCTAACTGGGAAGTTGTCGTGGCATGGACTGCTGTGGCCAGATTATCCCTGCCCAGTAATGGTCGTAGCTGGCAGACTGGCAAAAGCTGGCCCCAGGCACTCCAAAGCCTTACATGACCCTCCAGTGACAAAGATGAACCTAGGAGTACCCCCAAACGTAGCACCTGCTCCTTCGGGAGGTCTGCGACTCCATCCGGATCAGGTCTGTTGCCCAACTCTTGGACCTGGAACTACCAAAGCACAGAGTCCCCATCTTGTCGGGATCCAGCTTCATTTTATTGCCTTTCAGCCAGCCCACTAGAGCCTCTAGATCAGGGGTCTCAAACATGCGGCCCGGGGGCCATTTGCGGCCCCCCTAGATGACAGTTTGTGGCCCTCGCCTTGCCTGCCCCCCAAAGCGCCCAAACATCCTCTGCTGTCAAGAGTAAAAAAAAAACCCTTGCCTTGCTCGCCGGCTTTTTCCCAAGACAGCACCTCTTGCACCCTCCATCCAGAACTGCAGCCTGCCAGCCAGCCCACCTGTCTGTCGGCTAAGGAAACTCCTGGGCAGCTTCCTCAGGCTCTTGCTCCGCTTGGCGGAAAATCTGATGCGGCCCAGCCTCACCCAGACTCTGCCTCTAGCGGCCCCCAGGTAAATTGAGTTTAAAACCCCTGCTCTAGATTCTAGACTTTGGTTCAGTGCCTGTACAGCCTCAGCTGGCCCTGATGATAAGAAGAAGCACATCTAAGTGTCATCAGCATATTGATGGCACCCAACCCCCTCTCCTGGCGGCTTTGTGTAGATATTAAGCAGCATGGCGGGAGAGTCACCGTATGTGGGCTTGGCCAAGCTGCACAGTCCCAGGGTGCTCTCAGGAGAAGGGAACAGTGAGGCATTTCTGAGTACGCTATGTGCTTAGAAAACTCTGAAAAGGGTTGCCATAGTTCAGAATCAAGGTTCCGTCTAAACTGGGCAGGCGTGCAAGCACACGGGACTCCGTCTCCGCCCGCATAGCTCTCTCCCTCCTCTGCGTAGTGATCGTGTTTCACTCCTTTGATTCTGGTCACAATGGAACCCTGCATGTGGGGGGAGCGGAGTTGTGCATGCACGCAGGGGTGAAGTCACGTGTGTGAGAGAGGCAGAGCCCCGCCCAAAGGGGCTGAAAATGAGAGGGTACGTTGGTCAGAATTGACTTGACGGCCCACTATTATTATATTATGTTCTTCATAGATTTTTTTCTGTACTTGTTACACCTGTACTAAGAGTTGGGATATACATTTGTATGGCATTGACAGCTGTGGCATTTCATGTTAGTTAAGTAAACTTTACCTGGTATGTGTACAGAACAAGATTTGTGATGTCTACACTTGTTTGTTTTGTTACTATGATTGTAGGTTCATATGGGTGCTGTACTTAATTCCTGCCCAGTATCTTTCCTCTGTATTTGGCTGCATCCTGGTCAATATACTAATGTCAAAGATCTGAATATTCATCGTGTTTATTTCTGTTACTGTACTGCGTGTTTTTCCTGGCTTATCCATACTTAGTACATTCTGTGTTTCTAATATAACTTACTGTCAGAAGGTACCTAGCATTCTGACCTTCCAAAGCTTGGTGGGGACTGTGGCGTTTGCCCAGGTCATGAATATTCATATGCTGTTTGATTAGACCAATGAGATGCTGGAGGGGAGGAGTCACGAGATATAAGAGACTCAGGAGGAGTTTAGATAGACATAGATAGGGTTTTGAGATGGAGAATTAGAGTGTTAGAGAGTTGAGAGAAGTTTTGGAGTTTGGGTGGGAGAACGATGGTTGAGGGTGGAAAAAGAAGAATGTTTATTTAAGAGTTAACAACACTGCTTGTTCTGTCAACACCTGTACCAGTAAACAATTTCTATTTGGTTCTTTTAAAATGACATATGACCATTAATAATAGATACTGTTGATGAAATCAACTGGTAGCAGCTCAGGGGCACGTAGTGTGAGCTTGTAGTTTGGTGAAACAATCAGGGGCTGTGTGGAATCGTGACAGGATGGACAGACTTTTTATGTTGCTGTCTGGACATGACATAGGTGGTTTGCTATTGCTTTCTCCAACTCAGTGCTGAGGCTAATTGTGTTGGCTGTTACCACACCTGCAGTTTTCCATACCAAAGCCTGACCACCATTCTTTGGCTTTGGTCTGTATTTCATAGCTAAGCCTCACCTGATCTTCAGTAAAACCATCAACATTGGTTTTACTGATGATCATATGAGATTTAGAGATGATATAGATTCTCAAGGCCTCACGGGCATTATGGCTGAGTTCTTCTGCCTGAAGCCATTGTCTTTTCCAGGGTTTTAGTTAACTAACTACTGCCTGGTGCTTGGTCTGGCTGTGGTGGTACTACTACTCAGCAGAGTGGGTCCGGAGGCTAACCCCTTTGTAGCCAGAAAGCTCTATATGCAGCTTTTTAAAATTGGTATATCTTGTGAATAGCACAACTCTGCTTATGTTTATCCATAAATCTAATCCAGTAGGACTTATTCCAAGTTCGACTACACTCCTCTGCAGATCTTAAAGAACACATTTGTGCCTGTTATGTGTATCTGCAAGGGGGACTTGCGTCTTGCATGGATTCTTGCAGAGCATGGAATGTTTTTTTCTGCTGCTATCAGAGACCAAGGGCAGATTTTGCTAGCATTGCTACATTGTCCCCATGTTCGTAGCTCTGCTTTTTCTTCTGTGTCAGTGAATAGAAGTGGGATACCACTGGAGTGAGGACTAAATTTGTACCTTGTCCTTTGGTTACTGAAAAAGTTGAGAATCAAATTTGCTTATATATATACTATTAAGAACTATTTCCCTCTTAGTGATTTGCAGGGAGTGCGAACCTTTGCAAAAAAGGATGGAAGTGATTGGATTCTAAATGGCAGTAAGGTATGTACAGCGAGGATCCGTTCCTGTTGCCTCGGTACAGAATTCATCCTGCAGCCATTCGAGATCATGGTTTCTACGTTGGCTGTGATGGACTTGGCACTGTACAGTTTTTCAGTGAAGTAGTGCCAAGCCCCCTTCCTTTGCATTTTATCGCAGTCCTGCTGCCAAAGTAGCATGGTTACTGTTGCTGGCAACTTGCAGCTCAATCAACTTAGCAGGTGTGTTTTTTTTTCTGTATGGCTTTTGTTTGGGAAAGATATAAAGAACATCCCAAGAATTTGGCCTTTTTGTGCTCCAACATACTTGATCTCTGAAGGGGTATCCAATGCTTAACTATTTCTCATTTCAAAAGAGGTGGCAATTGAATGGCCTCCCTGGCATGAAGCTGCCTGATAGGACCAAGGAGACAGATAAAAACTTAACTGCAGCATCATAGTAAAAAAAAAAATAGTCTCTTCCTTGCTCAATATATTGTTGTGGGTTCAAAGAAAATGTCAAATTGAATACCAAAAATTGGCAGCCAAGTTCCTGCTTCTTTGTAGAACTTTCATTCGATATTTAAGTTGGATTGGATTCAGTGGGGGAAGCGGTTTAATTTTCTTCAGGGTTCTTTTGGATCATGTTCTTATTTCTAGAAGAATAAATTTTGTAAAAAAAGAATTCAAAGTGGTCTTGATTAAATGGTAAACTCGTATAAAAACCACCTAAAAATCAGCAACAAAGGTCTGGACAATGTATTCTGATCTCTGAGGTAGGATCGTTGGGGTGAATTGCATAGTTCAGAGTTAGCCACAACTATTTTGAAATTCTTTAACAGAGCCACTGAATCCTAGGTGAAGGAAGTGACAGCAGTAGCACACAGCTACTTATGCCTCTTTCTGCTTTGCTGCAGGTGTTCATTACCAATGGCTGGATGAGTGACCTAGTGATTGTTGTAGCCGTCACAAACCGTGAGGCCCGTTCCCCTGCTCACGGCATTAGCCTCTTCCTGGTAGAAAATGGAATGAAAGGATTCATCAAAGGGCGTAAGCTGGAGAAAATAGGACTTAAAGCACAGGTGAGTCCTGGGAGTCATGATGCCTGTATACTGTGGTTTTTACACAGAGCCAGTGCATCTTGAGAAATATTTCAGGTCTCTGACTAAACTACACAATTAGCTTGGGTTTACTCGGACAATGGCTGGAGGAGTGTCCTTGAACATTTTCCCAGGCTGTCCCCCCTCTGCAATTTCTGCCCCTCCTTGGTCTTTTCCTTAATGTTGTATGGAAAGCTAGGAGCTCACAGAGGCCTCTACCCAGGAGCCAGTTGTCAAGCTAGAGGTAGTAGCTGCAGACATATTGGTTATCTCATGTGACCATGTATAACAATAAGATAAACAAAACCTTGCATCTTACCTTATGTTTATGAGTGACAGATTTATTTCAGTGTGCAGATATATCATGGATTATGATCCATTTCTTCAGATGCATGGAGCAAGATATTTCATATACATGGTTTTGGAGAAGGTGTGAAATGGGATAATATATTATGAATTATGATCCATTTTTTCAGATGCATGGAGCAAGATATTTCATGGTTTTGGAGAAGGTGTGAAATGGGATACAGAAGATGATGATTAGATTGTTGACACTGGTCAGGAACTTTCAATATTGATTTCATAAACATTCTGGCAGTACAATTATTAGTTAATGCAAGGTGTTTGTGGGTCAATATCCAGTGCTTAGGCTTTTGTTTTTGAAATGTTGAAGCAGTGAGTTCCACTCTCAGAAGAGAGAGAGAAAAAGATTGTTCTAAAGCTAGAGTTTTGCTACAGAAAACAACTTTTTGGCTGGACACAGCAATGCGGTGAAACCCAAGTTGTTGGTATATGTAGCGTGCTAAGAAGTCCTGGTCTCTGTTTAAAACTCTAGTTGTACACTGGAATTTATAGACACATCTCACTACAGCTATCTCCCTCTGAAATCTCACTTAAAATTCTTTTTTCTTTAGTAGTTGCTTTGAGATCAGTAACAGAGTGCAGTGAGAGGTTGAAATGTTCTCCTAACACTGGTTTGTGTGTGTTCCTGTTTCTGATGTCAGATTTGTGTCCATTTATTGTTCTGCACAGAAATTGTCCCATTTGTCCTATATAGAAGGCAGAAGGGCACTGCTGGCAGAGAAGGGCATAAATCACATTAGAAGTTAAACAAATGAATACATCTTTCATATTGGGGTGTGTGACATTGTTGGGACCTGATATAACGCAGCCAGAACAGATGTGAGAACCCAGTTGGCATGTTCACTGTCTGCATATGAAGTGGATAGCGAGGTGGAAGCCTGATGAAAAAGGTTCATAGGTGAGAGCAGCAAACATGGATGCCGCCTTCGTATCTCATTTCGCCTTGAAAATTAGTTATTGTAGATATCTAATTTCATCAGCTGTTCTCCCTGACCTCTGTGCCGATTGACCCTAGACCAGTGATGGTGAACCTTTTTGGGCCTGAGTGCCAAAACTGGAAAAAAAAACTGGCAGGTGGCGAAAATGGTGGTGGCAGAAGCGGCAATAGTGGCGGAAGGGGGAAGCCCGGGCACAGAGGTGCCTCCAGACCTCATTCCGGATCCGCTGCCAGTGCCAGCTGCTCCGGATCCTGCCCCACTGCCTGTTGGGGTGCTAGCACTGCGGCTGCAGCTGCCTCCTCAGGTTTGGCTGCCGGGAGTAGCGATCCAGCGACTTATGGCTCTGCGTTCCCGCAGACAGGGCTCTGCGTGCCGGCTGTGGCACGTGTACTATAGGTTCACCGTCGGTGCCGTAGACCTGCTCTTTGAGCAATACTTTCCTATAACGTATCAGTCGTAAGTGTGAGACGGGGAGGTCAGTGCACAGAATAAGAAACGGAGGTCCCAAATAATGGTGGCAAATGTGGTTTTGTTGATTTTAAACCCAGGACACAGCAGAGCTGTTTTTTGAGGATGTTCGTCTGCCTGCCAGTGCCCTGCTGGGACAGGAGAACAAAGGCTTCTATTATCTAATGGCAGAGCTTCCTCAGGTAAGAAAGAGAGAGGGAGGGAGAGAGAGAGAGAGGGAGAGAGAGAGGTTTTAGTCCAAGAACATCTAGGTGAGGCAATAAAACCACACCAAAGAATAGCACAAGGGCATTATTTGTTCATTGCAGCTAACTGCCAGCTACAGATTACACCATGCGACATTTGATCTGCAGCACAGGATATCAACAGCTGCCACCTGCTGATTTCATTAGGGTGTATTTTCTATAGTGCTGGAAATCCTGCACTCAGTGTTGGAAGGTAATTGTTCCCTGTGCTACAGACCTGAGCTTTAACATAAGAAATTGTAGCCTATCGGAAAATCTTACTCACATTATTCAGAACTAATCATACCGTGTAAATCCCATGCAGGGTGTGTATGTTCTGTGCTTTTTGAGCTCTGTGTGCATTTTCCTTTGTGTCAGTAGGACCTCAGATACCTGGACTAGAGGAGATAAAGCAGTGATGTAATTTGACCCTCTGTGCGGGGCTTATATTGGTCATACTGGCAGATAGGATAGATACAGGGATTTGTGTTTTACCTGGAAATCATCTAAGGCTAAGCTGAACCCCCACCTGTACCCCATTTAACATAACAGATTCAAAACTTCCAGGGCATCTTGCTGCACAGGGAAATAATTACTGAAAAAGATTAGCAGCCTAATTCAAGTCCACATCTACTTTTAAACTTGGGATGGAAACATGACATTGATGCAAGGGCAGGAGAATATTAAAGGTAGGAATGTGAATGTGCAGAGAAATAATGACAGAGGGTTTTTTTGGTATGGTTATGTGCATATCTAACAATCTCCCCCTACCTCCTTTGTCAAGGAAAGGTTGTTGATTGGTGATATGGCAATTGCCAGTTGTGAATTCATGTTTGAAGAAACAAGAAATTATGTTAAACAGAGGAAAGCATTTGGGAAAACCATTGCACATTTACAGGTAAGCTTTAAGACCCCTTATGCAGTATAGTCAGTATGCTTGTAATTCTAAGATCATTTTATAACTCGTTTCTGAGTTTCACTGGAACTAGCCTCAGTCACCTTGGTGGATGCTCTAGAGCTAGGTGGGGGTGGATCATGGGAGCTAGACAAGGAGATCTTATTTTTGTCACTTTGTTGGACCATTTTGTGGCAGTAGGTCCTGTCTTGCATGTTGTTCTTCTTGGTAGGTATGGGACATAAGAGCACCATTTTTCAATATTCTAGCTGCATCTGGCTGACTGTTGCTAGAAGGTAGTGCTGGCTTTGTTTATCCCCAGGATTATTGGTTTGTAGGGATCCTCTGGCCTATTTTCCTGCTATGGTTTTAAGGTCTCCGAGAAGCCCTTGGAGATGCCATCCAGAATTTTAGAATTGGGTCTCACAACAATTCTGATGACACCTATTTGTCTCTTTTTTTTAACATGGATTTCAGCTGATGTGGAACTCATGTATCTCTTTCTAGAAGCATGTTGGTAAACAGATTGAGGTGCAATCAAGATAAGGCAGAAGTTGTGTTAGATAGTGGGTGAGTCAGTCCCAAACTGGGGATACAGCTTGTTCTGGATGTCCTTGAACTTCAGCTGAAGGACCACGTTCACAGATTGGAGGTGCTGTTGGATTCAACCTTCTTTCAGGAGTGTGAGGGCACATTTGCTCAGTTTTAGGTGCTTGTCCCAGTTGTACTCCTGCCTGGATATGTGGCAAGAGAAATTCATGCCTTATCTTTCTACAGGGACTGTCCTTGAAAAGTGTTTGGAAATTACAGCTGGCGTAGAATCCAGAAGTTAGAACGTTTAGCCGTACAGTACAGTACTCTGTTGTATCAACTGCACTGTTTTCCCACTACGTTTGAGTCCAAATTAAGGGCCCAAATCCTTTTCCCTAGTTATACCAGTGCAACAGTATAACTTTTGGAGGCCAGTTGGCTCTGGTTACAAAGACAGAGTAAACAATATCTGTACTTAACACATAATGTCTGCACTGACTTTGCAACTTGAAGCAATGCATCTCCAAAAGCTTTGCTGCTAGCATTACACTAGAGCAGTGGTTTCCAACTTTCGGTCCCCAGAAGTTCTTGAACTACAACTCCCACAACTCCTGACTAGCACAGTTAGTGGTGCAGGCTTCTGGGAGTTTTAGTCCAAGAACATCTAGGGATCCAAGATTGGGATCCACTGCATTAGAGTAACTACACAAGAGGACTTTAGCTATCGTGTTGTGCCTTTTCTGTGAACCCTCAAATGACTTAGGGTTGGAATTTCTGAAAAACTGCCTTCCATGTAAGCCCACTTGCAATTACTAAACTTCATTCCCCTGCTGTATGTCTCAAATGTGGTTGAGTGCCCACATCAGAGCCTTGTCATGCCTGGACCATAGTATCTGCATGGTTCTGGGGATCTTAACACCATGTCCCTTCTCTTAATTTTTTCTATCACATACAGATTATCTGCTTTTTTTCAGGATCCTTGATATAGCTTTTTAGAAACTTTTCCTATGAGCAAAGTATAGCCGTAGATTACACGCAACCTCACAAGGTTTTTAACATCTCGCTCCAGCATCCTGCATGCTTCAAATATTTGTGTGTGAGTGAGGTGAAATTCAATCAGTGCAGTGCTTAATGTTCATGCAATTTATGCCCCACCAAGTGTACAAAAGAAGATCTAGCAAATGGTTGAGATAATGCTATTGAAGTAGCCCACTTCTGGTCAAAAATAGTCTAATGATCATAACATTTTAATGTTATCTATATGTCACATACACCCATAGTTTTAAATTGTGCATTGCTCTGGTACAAATAAAGAAAGAAAGAGCAGAAGTTGCCCAGAAAGTCTGTCCTCTAGAAGGGATGGGAGACCATTTCCCCGTGTTTTGTCTAACCAGCACATATGTCCACCTAAATTCATTTTTTAAAAAAGATGGTCAGTAGAGGATGGGAGCGGGACTTCTAAGTAAAGAAGGCTTTTAAAGATAAAAATATTTTCTGATGGGCAGGGTGTGGCAGGTATTGTAGCCTTGGTTTTGAGCCCTGTTCACCAGGAAAATTAGTGCAAGCGTTTTAATATCTTTTCCATTTAATGACCAGATGAGCATAGTGAACTGTGCGCACATAAGTTGTGTATCTCCCTGAGATGGATTGCTGCTGATGAAGAGTTGGCAGGGTTCCTAGGTGCATGGCTGTCATGCAATTGGTCATGCATTTCATGTGCTTGATGCCTCATTAGTTAGAGATGATTCACCATTATGCAACTCATCATAATAATGTGTAAACACCAACAGGATTCTGGCCAGTACCCTGCATTGACTGAATATACGCACATAACAGATACAGTAGCCATAAAATTCTGTATGAAAATGCTCATAAACATTGAGAATTTCAGTGAGAGAAAGATGGCTGGAATATGAACGCATTTTAACCCTTGAAGGAGATGGCACTCATTGTACCCATACAAGTGAACTATAATGCTAAATACAAAAACCCGTGTTTCTGTATGCCTTGATGATCCCTAGTAAATAATTTCATAGGAAAATAACAAACTGCATTATTTTTCCTTTCAAAAACTGGAAGACGGTGCAACACAAGCTAGCGGAACTGAAAACACAAATTTGTATTGGTCGGGCTTTCTTGGACAGCTGTCTCCTCCTTCATTCAGGGAAACGCCTGGACTCGGCCACTGCTTCGATGGCCAAATATTGGTATGTGTGACAAACAAGGTCTTCTGGAGTCACTCTGGATAGTTCAGTTGTGTTACAGGCATGAAGAATTTCCTGGGGAAACTCAGATGCCTTTTGGATGATCTTTCCTCAAGGTGTAGGTTTGTTGCTTCTCTTTGCAGGGTGCATTTTTCAGTAGGGGAGTAGGGGAAATGCCTGGAGAAGGAGAAGGCCTGTTGCTTATTAGCATTGTTTAAACACAAAACTAGCACTGGCCAAGTCCTTCTGTGGCATGGTAGCAGTATACTTAGGAGGATTCCTAAATACTTTTTCATCCCTGCATGCAAGAAAGAAGAGGGAAAAGAGATTAAAATGACACAATGAGAGAAGAGTGGACAGAAGGCTTTGAGGGGGCTTGCTCAACCTGTATTGAGCCCTGGTGCCAGTACCGCTGCCTTTCATATAGCACTTTGAAGGTTAAAGACAAATGGACCCTGAAAGGGAGGGGATGGGGGACTTGAGCCCCACCTCTGATTAGACTGAGAGAGCTGCCTCTCTCCCCCCCCCACTGCAAATCATTAGGCAAAATTGGGTAAGAAGGTCTGTACCATATGAATAATGCTGCATTTATAATGCTATAAAATTAGTCTGGAGAGGCAGAAAAGATTCTGGCTGCCTGGTTAGAATGAAATGAAAATCAGCAGGATTCCTTTTTAAATAGAGAGGTTTTAGTGTGTTTTATTTTATTGCATTACTGGAAATTACCAGGTTCCTTAGATTTTTGAATGCTTAGTATGTTCCAGTAGTTTAAAAGAAGAGTGACTGGTAGGTAGTTCTTAAACTTGCTAGCTGAGAGTGATTTTCTTTTCCTTTTCCCCTCTCCTGCCTCTTTTTAGGTGGGCAAGGCTTACAAGCTGAATCTAAACCTTCCTAGCATAAAAAAAAGGGGGGGAGAGGAGGGTTTTCCAGTTTTAAAATAGGATTTCTAAGTATGCTTCATTCCAGAAATGGAATGTTTTATCTAGCCTTCCTCAGTCGGATACTGTCTAGGCTATGATTGTCATCCCAAAACCCTGCCTAACATGCCTATTGGCTGTGCTTCCTAAGGATGATGGAAGTGGTAGCCCAGCATATCTGGAGGCTGCTGATTTGAAGAAGATTGGTTTTAGAAAACTGGAAGGTGATCTTGTGAAAAAGCTGCTGAAAATTTATTCATTAGGCAATTCTCACAATATAATCTATAAACATGAATGTGATATATGCACCCCTCCATTCCCCCCCCATCCAAAGTGTGACTTCAAGGTGGAAATATTGCCCGTTGTTTTAATATAACACATGCTGGCCTGTTTTGACCTTATATTTCCATTTTTCTTTAGCCAGAAAAAGCCCCAGGTTGTTATTGCTGTTACATATTAACTTGTGTTTCGCTGGACAAAGTCAGACATGTAAAAACATAGAAGGCAGTACTTTGTACTCATGCCAGAATAAATTAACCACATGGTTGAATGAAATAAATATGAGATTAGAAAAAGAGCAGAGAACATGTTGGGACTCTGTTGTTTTCACAGGCACAAGCTGGATTTTAAAGAGAAATGCAAAAAACAAGTAACAGAGTCCAGATGAGATATGTGCAGTCACAGAGAGGAATTTAGACTTGAAATCCTTGATAGGGAAACAATGGCATTTATCCTTTAAGAAAAGGAAATCACAATTTGTCTGACTGTCTGAAGATTTCTGCAATATTCAGTGACCCTTTCTGGAATTTGTGGAATGTTTATTGTTGAAGCCACAAATCTTTCTGTTGCTACCCATAAAGTCAATTTCTTGTCCCCCAATATAATTTTTAAAATAACCATCGTTAAGTGAAACTTTCTTTGTACTGTTATTCCTTTGAGTTGCCTTTGTTCTGCTCCATGTGCTAAATGGAAATGCTCCTGGTCCCAGATAATTTGTCCCTGTGCTCAACTTTTGTCAAAACATTTTGAATTAAGTGTTGGGATGTCAGTACTACTAAGCTGTACTGCCTCAGCAGTCTTTTAAACACTTATGGGGGAAACACCACATAAAGCAGATTGCATAAAACTGAGTAATGCTATTCTGACCTACATTTGAAACTTTTCCTATACAGTTTTTACAGCCAATACATGAATCTGACTATTAACATAAGCTATTAAATACTGTGAGAGACTTGGCATTTGTATTTATTTTTTGTTTGTTTGTTCTGCATTCAAATTTGGCTCCTATACAAAACGTTTAAAAAACAGTTTCTTTGTGGTATGTGTCTATGATTCAGTGGGCGCTACCACGGCTGTATGCACAGGTACAGACAAAGTTGGTTTACAAAAGCTCAACTTTTTTGATATCTTTTCCTCCCCTCCTTCCACTTAAGGGCTACTGATCTCCAAAACAATGTGGCTACTCAGTGTGTACAACTCCATGGAGGTTGGGGATACATGTGGGAGTATCCAATTGCAAAGTAAGTGACTGCTTTTTATCTTTGCAACCATACTGTTTTGTGGAGGGAATTGATCATCCGTGTAGCTGTTTCATCTGCCTTTTTACTTACTGACTTCGTCTACAAGCTGTGCAGGAGTATGAGTATTCTGTAATGACAAAATGTTGATATATCAGTTATAAAATGTGAAATGAGAAAGTTGTATCTTGCTGAGAAAACAGATTGCCACTGTTGGTCGTAGCCTTATGTCAAGCCAGAGAACTGTAGAGCTGGAAGGGATTCCAAGGGTCACCAAGTTCAAACCCCGTATATTTTATTTTTTGCCATGTTATTTAAACTTCCTTTAACCAAGAATTGGCTGTACATTCATAATCAAAACATCCACTTTATGGAAAGGCAAAGATTACCCCACAGGCCCACATAAAGTACATATTGCAACTGCAGACACCCACAAAATGCACACTAAGTGCTTCTGCTCACCCACAAAACACAGAAAATATACTGTACATAGACTCCACCCCTAGCACATATCTGTACTCCCTGTTTTCTTTCTCCCTTCTCCCCCAGACCACATATGCATGCCAGGTTACCAGGCCTCCCCAATCCCTTTAGTCATTCTGTTCAGTCTTTTCTAGTCTCTCCATTCTGGTTACTTTGAAATGTTGCATGATGGAACCCTGCTGTGGCTAGCTAGCTTTATGATCTGTTGCTACAGTCATGTTTCAATAGCCGCTCCATCTCAGGAAATGCTGGTTCCATACTGTTTTCTCAGAGATGCTAAAACCTGAATATATAGTGGTGCCAGCAGGTGCACACAACTGGCAAATTAGTAACAGGTAAAACCCAACAAATAATTGGTTGAATTTTTATCCACTCTTTCCTGACTTAGGGCCAAAGCAGACATTCAGAGAAATCCATTTCTTCGAAGGGTGAAAATTGCTTAAATTATGGAAACACATTAACAAGAGAAGCACACATTTTGCTGAACTTACCTCTAGAATGTAAACAATTGTTTTCTCTGCATGTTTAATTCTGCCATAAACATAACAAAGGAGATGGCATTGTTGGGGAGAAGACATTGTGAGACCAGAAATGATTTCTTTCTATGCACATTTGCTTTGATCCTGAATTGAAACATTATACAGTGGACTCTCGACTTACGAAGGTCCCTACTTACGGAAATTTCCAGGTATGAAAAGCTCCGGCTGCAAAATTTTAGTTTGACTTGCGGCCAGAGCTTCAACCTATGAAAGGTGGGAGAAAGGGCGGGAAATTCAAAGCAGACCCCACTTCCTTCTTGTCTCTTGTCCCCGGTGCCCTCTGCCTCCTGTGGACAGGAGGCAGAAGGCACCGGGGACAGGAGACAAGAGGGCAGTGGGTGCAGCTTTCTAAGGCCCAAAAGTTGACAGCGGGCGCAGAGCAGCTTTCGGCTTGCAGCTTTGGAAGCCGGGAAGCCTATAATAATCTTTATCTCCAGCATATTGTCCCTGATACTTACTCTGTCTTATTCTGTCCAGTGGTAGGTAGGCCTGGCCCTGCCATGGTCTGAGTTTCAAATATATCAGCAAAACTTTGTCTGCTCTGATTTTTTCAATCAATACCCCATTCCTAGTTACCGTGATTTTCAGGGGTGAAGTGGAATTCAGCCGGTATATGAAATCACACTTAATCAATCTAAGCAGTGGTTAAACTATGATAGCTCTAGATAGAGAAGAGTAGGAGTTGAAACATTGTGACAGGAAAAAGCTTTATAAAAAGAAATGAATGCAGCTTGCTGATCTTAGACCTCATGATCATTATAATTAAAAGAAGATAGCAGGACAGTTTATGTTTATTTTATTTTATTAGACTTATATATCGCCCATCTAGAACATGTCTATTCTGGGCGGTTTACACAAACTACAAAAACCAAAAATACAGATATAAAATGAAAACATAAATGCATTAACAAGTGAGGCCCAGTTTTACTACAAGAGTCCAAGATGAGGAAAAAAGGAAAAATAAGAGGTAAAGCTAAGTAATGGCTGTTGTGAAGGCCTGCTTGTAGAGCCAGGTCTTTAGTTTGCTCTTGAAGGCCCTCAGCGAGGGGGCCAGGTGGATTTCTGTTAGTAAGTTGTTCCAGACATGAGGGGCCACTGCTGAGAAGGCCTGGGTTTTAGTTTTTTCCCTTTGGGCCTCTCTCGGACTTAGGCCCCTCAACTGCCCAGCCTGGCTGGATTGGGTGAAACAGGCAGAGCTAGGTGGAAGAAGGCGCTCTGCCAAGTATTGGGCTTTGTATGTAACAGTCAGCACCTTGGAATCAATGCAGAAGTGGACAGGTAAACAGTGTAAGGCGGCCAGGATGGGGAAGATATGATGAGATATTTACATCCTTTTAATAGCCTGGCTGCCATGTACAGGACCATTTGAAGCTTCCGCATCAGTCTCAAAGGAAGCCCCACATAAGAGAGCATTACAGTAATCTGTTCTTGAGACTATGAGTGCATGGATGAGCATGGCGAGGGCCCCCACGTCTAGATAGGGACACAGCTGACGATGCGCCGAAGATGTAAATGGGCAGATTGAACCATGGACGCTACCTGGGTCTCCATGGTAAGCGCCAGGTCAAGATGAACCTCCAGACTGCGAACCACACTCTCCGTGGTGAGAGTCGCACCTTCCCCCCCAAATTCCCCCCCAAATGAGAGGGAGTTTCCCAAAGAACTGACATCAGGGGAGTCAAACCACAAGACCTCCGTCTTGTCCGAGTTCAACCTCAGTCCATTCAACTGCATTCATTGCAGAACAGACCCCAGGCAGCACTGAACAGATGGAACGGCATCCACTGCAGGTGGAAAAAATATGCCAGTGGTATGTATGCTAATATTTAGAGGTATTGGTATGTTTTACAAACTGCTCATCTACATTTTTCTCTAGATCTTTTGTAGATGCTCGTGTTCAGCCAATCTATGGTGGCACCAATGAAATAATGAAAGAGCTCATTGCCAGAGATATTGTGAGTGACAAGTAGGTATATGATTATGCTGAAGAATCATTCCAGAATCCAATTTCAGCTGGCATGGAATTCAGTTCTACTCCCCTCCCCCCTCAAAAAAAGGGCTGTCTAAATGAAGTGGATGCATCATTTAAAAACTGATACATGCATGTTTCTCTTGTTGATCCCTGATGTTTTTAACATAGAGTAACAGTTGTCTTTCCCTAGTAATAAGACCCCAGATGAATTCAGAAAGGCAAGAAGCTGTGTGATGTATTATTTGGACAAGCTGTGCATTATTATTTAAAGCTGAGTTGTTTGAAGCCCAGTGTAATTAATTCTAATTACTGAACATCAAGGATTAAAAACATCACATTCTGGAGAAATGCTTTTGTGTGGCTAAAGGGGAAGAAAATGTGAACCGTAGAAGTTAGTATAGCAGGGGAGATATTTGCAAGTGGTAAAGTGGGAGCCCGTTTTTGACATTCCTCCACTGCCCCATTCTGAAGTACTGTATAGTAATCTTCATGGCTACAGTCCTGTGTAAGCACAAAGAGTATTCCTCCAGTAAATGTCAGTAAATGGAAAGTTAATCTTCTAATGTTAACAGGGAATTGCACAAGAATATTGACAAAAGTTACATGTAAAAATTGCCTTATTTTGACTTGTCTATATTTTGCTTGAATAATAAATTAAAATTAAAAAAATAAATAAATACCAAACCAGCAATATGGAGCAAGTCTTTGATATCTCCTTTACCTCAAATGATTATTCAGAAGTGCCGAAGTAATGCTAATGCTGTGAAGTGTATTGGAAGATATGGCATGTTGGGTGTGCAAAATATACTTATTGGTTTGTTTATTTATTTAATATGTTCTAACCCTTTTATGTTTAAAAAGTTATATTTTGAAAATAGATAAAAGCATTAGTAAACAGATTTAAAAGCAACAAAAATACAAACCATCCCATTTTTAGAAATCCTCTAAGACAGCCACTTGGGGAAAGTCTGCCTGAAGAGAAAGGCCGCCGGCTTGGGGAAGGACAGCAATGATGGGGCCAGCCTGGCCTCCCATGGGAAGGAGTGTCGGAGTTTGTGTCTCCACCAAGTACACCTGTGAGGGCAGTGGGACTGAAAGAAAGGCCTCTCTTGATGATCTTAACACCCAGGGAGGTTCATAAAGGAAGATGTGGTATTTAACAGCTTTGAATTGTGCCTGGAAACTGATGGGTGGTTATGTGATCTCTGTGTGCAGACCCAGTTAATCTGGCTGCAGCATTTTGGACCCACTGAAGTTTTGGACACTTTCCAAAGGCATCCCCACATAGGGCATGTTAGAATAATCCAGCCAGACTGTAACTAAGGCATGTGTCACTGTGGCCAGATCAGACCTCTCCAGGAATGGGTGCAGCTGGCACACTAGTTTTAATTGTGCAAAGGCGCACCTAGTCACTGCAGTCAAAATTGTAAATAATTACAGCAAGTTTCTTTGATAACATAAATGACTGTAAATATGTAGGGAAACATATGGACTAGAAACTTCTGTGGGTTTCTGAAGCAGGTGGCTGGCCAGGGTCATGGAGTCTTTCCATGACTTACTGATTTATTGACTAGAGCCGTGTGATGTACCAGGTGCTAATATATGAAAACATATCCCTGTTGTTTTTTTTAAAAAAAAAACAATCTGCAAGGTGCTTTTATTCCAGTTAATTTCTGAGCAAGTGATCTGTACATTTTGATACATCGATTCTACACAGTGCACATCTGAGATCTGCCTGTATGATCATCAGTGTATTGAATGGTCTCAGTGTTCACTTCTCTGTAACCAATCTATTCCCAATGGATTCAGAAGAATACTTACTTTGTTTTGAAGAAGGCCTGGGCCTTTTTGATTGGCGCAAATTATCGCAGATCAAAACTCCAGCCATGCCTCCGGCCAGCAGCGTGTTTCTTCTCTACAGAATACAACTGCTCGGTTGATTTATTTTGAAGGTAACACTTTAGACGCGGCTTGGGACAATACTGGCTGAATACCGTACCACTGATCCCGGCGTGAGAATGTGGATGATGGGTGTGCGTATAGAAGAGGTGCCATGAAGCTTAAGAGCTGTGGGAGGTTCATAAAAAGCGCGAGCACCGCGGTCGCCGCCCGCCTGGAAAAAAGACACACACACACCCAGCGCTTGATTTGCATAGGACCACCCCTGTGGCTTCCGATTGGCTAGGCTGGGCAGCCGACTCCCCTCGGCGGCCCCTCCCCTCCCCTCCCTGCCCAAACTACCGCCTGCTCCCGGGGGTTGCGCGGCTGAGGCAGCTTTTCTTGGAGAGAAGCGGAGCGGCTGTTGGGCTCTTTCGGCGACTGACCCGCGAGAGGAGGGGAAAGCGGCGGGGGTTGGGGCGGGGTGGGGGGAAAAAGGGAGAGAGGAAGCCCACCGAAGGTGCCTCCACACTGTTGCCGGCGAGAAGTTTAACCGCCGTGTATGTGCGTGTGTGTGAAAGGAGCGGGGAAAAGAAGAGGGCAGCAAGCGAGCGAAGCGAACGGAGTTGGCAGGCAAGTCGGTGCCTCGGACGGAGGCGGGGGTGTTGCTTTTTTGGTCACGGTTCCTCTCAGGAAGGCGCCTGAGGAGAGGCGGTTGGTTCCCTGTGGTGCCGTCGGCACCCCACCTCGCCCGGCCCCCCTCACTTTCCTTCTGTTTCTGGCGCGCGCGCACTGACCCCCCCCCCGTCCTCCTCCCTTTCGTCTTGAGAGTTCCTAACAGTGACTTAACGGCACTTAATGGTGAGGATGGAGCGGAGGAGGGAGGGAGGGGCGTGGCCGTGTCTTTGGAATGCGGGAGAGGAGGGGGGCTGAGGTGGAGGGGGGCTGAAAGTTACGCTCGCGCGCGCCCACGGCTGCCAGGGGCGTGACGTAAGCGGCGCAGGAAGAGGGGCGGGGGGGGG